CATACCTGTGTGTTTGTGCTTTATATGTAGAAGTGATTGCATAATAGCTCAAAATGTAGTCTTACTCTTGTATAGTGTGTGGGGTGTGCAGCGCTGTTGGGGGGTATGGGTGGGTGGGTGGATGTGGAGTTTGTGGGGAGCTGTGGATGTATGCGTGTGTGGTATTTGTGGGATGTATGATTGTGTCTGGAGGAGGGTGTGGCTGTGGGGTTTGCAGGAAGGGTTGCAAGGGGGGAGCCAGCTGGGCACTTGCTGCCCCAAGCCTCATGGCTGCGTTTGCGCTCTGGCAGCTTCTGCTGCCGCCAGGAGGCCGGGGGCTACCACGGAAGCGCCTGCCAGGCTTGGGGGGCAGTGTGGGGGGGCGTTCTGGAGCCACTGGGGGTGGCACGAGTCAGTGGCCTGGAACATGGGAAGCCCAAGGAGGTGCTGCAGAACTTGCATCGTGCGCCTGAGGCTTGGGGTAGCAAAGGCTTGGCTGCCCCACCCCCACAGGTGGCCTGGGGGTTGCCACCACCCCGGGGGGATGGCCCAGCCCCCCCACACCCTGCAGGGGCCCCGCAGCCTAACAGCAGCTTGCCCCCCGGCTCTGGGACAGGCAGGGAGGCTGCGCCAGGAGCCAGAGCAGAGCAGCAGCTGTTTTTCTGCTTTAGAAGCTCCTACAGCTTTGAGGCAGCCAGGGGCCCCAGGGAAGCTCCTGTCTGGCCCTGGCAGCAGTGCGGAAGGCCACCTGAGGCCACGGATGGCGGCACTTGGCTCAAGACACGGGAAGTCCAGGAATGCGGCAGAGAAGTTGCGTCTTGTGCCTGAGGCTTGGGATGGCAACAGCCTGGCTGCCGCCACCCTGGGGGGAAGGCCTGGTCCCCCCCACCCCACAGGGGCCCAGTGGCCTGGCAGCAGCTTGCCTCCCAGACCCAGGACGGGTGGGAGGCTGAGCCAGGAGCCAGATCGGAGCCACAGCTGCTTTTCCCTCTGAAAGCTCCTGCCGCCTCTCTGAGCTTTGCGCGCCCTGGGCCAGGATCCTGCCAGGTCATGCCACCACTGGCAGCCTCGGGAGGTGACCCCTGGGGTTGGCTAGGAGCTTCCCCAGCGTCCCTGGGCTCCTCACAGTTGCAGGAACTTCTGGAGCAGAAAAGCAGCTGCAGCTCCACGCCCGCTCCTGGCACAGCCTCCCCACCCATCCTGGGGCCAGGAAGCAAGCTGCCACTGGGCCCCTGCAAGGCAGGGGGGTCCAGGACTTCCCCTTGGGGCAGCAGCACCCACCAGAGACTCCCACAGGTGGCATCCAGGCTGTTGCTTCTCCAAGCCTCAGGCGCAGGATGGAAGTTCCCCACCACCTCCCCATACCACGTCCCCACTGGGTCATGCCGCCCCCAGCAGCCCCAGGTGGCCCCCGTGCTGCCCCTGGCCGGACAGGGGGGTTGGGAGCCAGCGACAGCCAGGCAGTCCCCTAGGCCAGTGCTGGCAGGAGCCCAGGGTGCAGCTGCCTGGGCTCCATGGAGCCAGGCTGGGCTCCCCAGCAGGGAGAGGGGAGCTGCCCCACTCTGGGCCCTGCCAGCGCTGGCTCCTGCGTGCCCCCTCACTCCCAGCCCCCCCCCAGCCCTGTGGCCAGATGGGGACCAGTGTGCCTCCTCAAGCTTCCCGCTCCAGCTCAGGCGGGAACAGCCACATGGTCCTGGGCTGGGGCAGGGCGGGCCCTGCTCTTCCAGAGTCCTGGCTTCCGCTGGATCCTAACGCCCCTGGCTCCTGTCACTCTTGACTGGAGCCAGAAGCAAATAAATATTAATTTTTAAAAAATTTCTCAGGGCCCTGCAGGCCAGATAGAATGGCCTCGCCCGTGGGCTGTATTTTGCCCACCCCTGAATTAGATTCTATACCTGGAAAATTTTAACAATTTCATAAATTTCCTATATACAGAATCTAAATATTCTGTATATTTAGGGGGATCATCTTATATTCAGGGTCATCTTATACTCAAGCAAATACAGTATATAATGCATCTTTTCTATCTCAGTTCTTCATGATGAGATGATACTTTCTGTATGCCAGTGGTGCCCAACTTTTTTGCTCCATGGGCCAGATTTGGTTCAGGCCTAGACTCAGCTGCATGGGACTTTTTTGGCAGCAAGGGAGGGGCTGTGATGTTAATTACAACCACTCCCTTGCTGCCAAATTTCCCGGCCCATGGGGAGTCCCGCAGACCACAGCCATAACTCTGCAGGCTTAGCAACTCTGCTGCATGTTATGGGAACATAAAGGTAAGGAAAACAGAATCTAAATGCAGCCAGCTTGCATTGATCTATCCATAACAGGTTCTAAACTGAGAACATGTTGATGAGAACAGGGACAATTTAGAAGTTAAGATACAACTGGAGAGCTTACCGAGATAAATCAAAATAAAACAGGCATGGACTACAACACAGAGGAGTAATTTGTTTGTCAAAGCAACAGTATCTGGAGAAGAACCTAATTCTTAGGAATTCCCTGTGTTAACCACAAGGTCACATTTGCATTAGAAGTAGTTATAAACATGTAAAAGCTGTCACCATTTTTCTTCACAAGACTGCAAAATTCCACATAATTTTCAGTCCTAAATATTTAACTAATGTGCAAGGTCTAGGGTCAATTACACAGTGATTCATACCTCCTCCTCTGGCATCAGCTTTCGCCTGCCATCCTTTACAGGAAAACCACTCCCAAAGTCCTTGGATGAGATATCAGCTCCATATTCCACAATGACATCCTCCTCAATGCTGCTCACCAGTCGCCAGAACTCCTTCTCTACCAGCTCAGTAGGAACCATCTAAAAAGACAAAGGTATTATTAAAGTGCAAACCAATTCATCCAGCCTACTACAAATCTACCAGCAAAACAAAGAGAATATGAAATAGATGTGTCCAGATGCCAGCAAGCTAAATCGCCTGTTACCCAATTTCAAATTAACAGTGTCCCTTTAAATTAAGTCAGGAGATTTCCAAAAGAAACTCAGTCAGATGATATACATCTTTTTCCCCAATAAGAGATCACAACGAATTGGGATATACTCACATGGACTGGCATATTGAAGTAATCAGACTTGAAATTATCTGCCATTTCACCAAAACTCTGGAGAGTGTACTCCCTCACAGCTTGCTCGAATCCAAAGGCCTCACGTGGCTTGTTACATTCCTAGGAGAAGCAATCTAAGTTATCACTCACTGCAGCGAATCATGCCAAGCAGACTTTTTCCTACTGGAATATACTAGTATATGTTTCTCTGCCAAACGAACACACAAACTATTGCTTTCAAGTGGTTTCTCCAGACAATATGGTTCTTGCCACACTGGAAATTGAGCAATTAACAACTGGGAAACCAAACCAAAGTGTTCAGTAACAATGTCACACAGATCCACTGCACTCCTAAGGGCTACACCTCAACACCTGCTACAACAGGCATCAGGGTGAGAAGGAGGAGAAAGAAGATAGGGAGGCCACACTTCAGCTATGAGGATTTTATGCAAGGTCCTGACATTAAGACAAGCATCTACAGCAGAGCCACTTGGCACAGATCCCACAGCTGCTTTTATCTTAGTAAATCAGCAGCTGCTTTGGCTGCAAGAGGGAAAATTTATGTGGGGAGAAGAAGGAAGAGGGTGTTACCAGATAATTGCCTTTAACTAGTTTTAGATTATCTAGATAATAATGAGCTGTTCACTTAGCATGCACAGCTTCAGAGCAGCTTCTTTCCTTGTCTTGCACCAAAAGGATGGGCAACAAGAAACTCTGTCTTATCTTCACTGCTTCACCCTGCTTATTTCTATGATGCTTCTGCCAGCACATCTTGAGCCCTACATTTACATGTACAGAAACAGGTCTGAACTGGTAAGCATGTGGACAAATTGAAGGCTGGCTATTTTTATGGATGTACGGAATGTAAGGCAGGAAGGGACCTCAGTCAGGGAGCCCCTGCTTTAAGGCAGAAGCAAGTATAACAGCTAGACCATCACTGACAAATGTTTGTCTAGCCTATTCCTAAAGGCTTCCTAATGTCTAGAGTTCCAAAACCTCTCTCAGTAACCTGGTCTAATTTTTTAAGACACAGAAAGTTTGTCCTAACAGCTCATCTGATTTTCCTTTCCTGTAATTTAATTGCTTCATTTTCTGTCCTCAGTCAGTGTTCTCTTTATAACCACCTTTTCCATATTTGAGGGCATTAAGCTTTCCCTCAGACTTCTCACATCTAGAAAACCACCAAACCCAATTATATTAATGTTTCCTCAATGGCCATTTATCTTTGTTGCACTCCTCTGGTCTTTGTAATTTGTCTACATCTTTCCTAAAGTGTGGTACCCAAAACTCAACACAATACTCCAGCCGGCAACACATCATCCATGTTATTAACATAAATACTGAACGGCACCAAACCCAGGGTAAACCTCTTCTGATCACATCTGATCCATTCGCTAGTTTGAAAGCAAATCATTAACAACATCATTGGGGTATAATTTTTTACACCAGCTGCACACTCATTTGCAGTAGCTTCTATACTGTTTTCCTTAGTTTACTTATGAAACTACCATAAATAAACCACCATGTGGTAGAACTGTGTCAAAAGCCTTACCAAAGTCAAACGACATCACATCTCCTGCTTGCCCCCCCTACTCTCTACACTAGTTACCCTGTCAAATGGAATTTAAACAGACTTGTCAGTAACAAAATCACATCAAACCAATGCTGGCTGTTTCTCATTACCATATTATTTTCTAAGAGCCTACATTTTAGTTCTTTAATAATTTGTTTTAATATTCTTTCTAGATAATGCAGTTTGGAAAATTGTTTTTTTAATTCCCTAAGTTCATCCTAACCACCCCTTTTGGAAGACACATACTTCGTAGAAAACCTTTTTTGATTTTAAAGTTGTTAAAGGTTCCTGGATGCACCTCTACAGGTCTCATATGCTGTCTCTTTCCTCCACATGGGGACAGTCTGCTGTTGTGCATTTAATATGATCTCTTTGAACCTGCCTGCTCTCCTGAATTCCTTCATCTGAGACCCTGCCTATTAAAGTCTGGCTTCGTGAAGTTCACTGCTGTTATTCTGCTGCTCTCAACTTCTTTCAAAAATCAGGAATTATGTCATTTCGCAACCACTTTTACCCAAGCTCCCTTCCATCTACAGATCCTCAACCTCTCATATTTACCTGAATCAAAGATAACTCTGAATTTAAGATGACCCTCCAATAATGAGATTCTATACATAGAAAAATTATAAATCTGTTATAATTTTCCATGTATAGAATCCAATTATTGGAGGGTTGCTTTTAAATCATCTCCCCCCACACTGCTGCAGAGGAGCGGGCAGCGGAGGGATCAAACAGCTTGCCTCTTGCTTGTGCCTGCTCCTCTTGCTTCTTCCCCCCAACCTGTGCTCCCCCTTCCTCCTAGCCTCTCTGCTTGACCCCTCCCTCCTTCCCTGCTAGCCTCTGCTCCCTGCTTCCCTCCTCCCCTTATCTTCACACCACACCAACAGGCTCCCTGTTCTAGCCTGGAGCACTGAGCATGGCCCCAGCCCAGCCCAGCCCCATAGCAGCTGTGTAGGTTACATGTTGCTACTACGGAATGGGATGGGGCTGTGCTCAGTGCTCCAGGCTGCAGCATGCATGAAGTTTGCCAATGTGAAGCAAGTGTAGGGGGAGGGGCAGTCAGGGGAACAAGGCTGCTGGGTTAGGGGTGAGATGGTAAGGTGGGGAAGCAGGGGAAGGCAGCAGCTGTGGCTACTGCCCCAACCCCAGGTAGGGGCTGAAGCCAAAGCCACAGCAGCTGCATACCCCCCCATTCACATACAAGTCTAAGATGAGGGATTTTTCCCCTGCTCCCTCCCCCATGTTAAATAGGGGGAAACAGTCTTAAAATCAAGCAAATATGGTATTCCTCCCTGTTAGTCAGAATCAAATCTAAAATATTGTCCCCTTTAAATTACTTCCTTTACCACTCAAACATAGAAGTTCAAGAACTTTCTGGACAGATTACTTTTTCAGTAAATATTCATGTAGTTAAAAGGCCCTGTTGTGACCAGATCCTGTCTTTTGGATGCTTTTGTTGGTTGCTGGTGTCATGCCTTGTCACCAGCTCTTTCTGATTTAGTGGTCTATTATACTCATGTTATGGCATCACCCCTGTTCTTTTCCCCATTCATCTCCATCCAAGCACTTGGCAGGTCTGCCGTTTGCCTTTTTCTTATTATAATTGCTCAAGGTCAATGCCAGGGCTTCATAAAGGTCATCTGCCCACAAAGTTTTAGATGTCATGTATGTGAATGCAACACAGTCTGGAGCAGACACACTTGTACTAAACAGCAGCTTTGTTTTATTAGGGAAAAAAAAGACTGCTGAGGGCACGCAGCAAATTCAGTTCACACTGTGGTAATATCCCCAGATAGACACAAAACTAAACATTCTCCTGCAGTGGCAAGAGCAAGAAAGCTGAAATATCGTGGTATACTGTTCTCTTCAATATCATTCAAGGATGAGGCAAATTTGAGTAGGTCTGGGACTGTACCTCAGCAACACACTTTGGGCACCTCCAATCACCTTTGGGCACATCAGGCAAAGGGGGAATCAGGCAGAATGTGTGGTAGCTGTCATCACAACCATCACAGAGTAGCAGTCTGTCCTCATTGTTTCCTCGGCCACAAAACAAGCAAACGTATAGATCAACCTGCAGGAAAAAAAAAAAGAGCCCAGTCAAAACCAGCCTCTAGCATCCAACAGCAGTCATGCTAAAGTCTTACTATACATATAGCAAAGTATACACTGAAGAAATCTGATACTTGTACACTATGTAATCTCTACACCCCACTGAGAACGCACAAACCATCATCAGGCTTCTGCTTCCCAGGACCAATACATCTGTGACTAAAAGCACACAAGATGATGGGGAGTGAAAAAACTCCCACCCAATCTAGCTCTAGAAGGAAAAAGAACATCAATAAAGCATCACCAGGGCAGAAACCAACTTGAAGCAACAATTAATTTACATCAATTTTACATTCTGGTGATGACCTTCTCTCTCTGGGCCCCAATGATTCATAGAAATTAGGGCCTGGAAGGGACCTCACGAGATCATCAGGTCCAGCCCGCCCACTCTAAGGCAGGAAAGACTGCTGGGGTCAGATGACCCCAGCAAGGTATGTGTCTAGTTGTCTTGTAAAGATCTCCAGTGAAGGTGACTGTACCACCTGAGGGGGAGTATGTTTCAGACTCCGGACACATGAACCATAAAGTAGTTTTTCCTTATGTCTAATCTGAAGCAATCTTCTACCAAGTTTATGACCATTATTCCTGTCTTCCCCTGGGATGCCTTGGTGAACAGATGTTCTCCTAGCCCCTGAAGTTGATCCCTTATATACTTAAAGGCTACCACCAAGTCCCCCGTGAGTCTTCTCTTTTCCAGGCTGAACAGTCCCATGTCCTTTAGCCTCTCCTCGTATGGTCTGCTTTCCAGACCTCTAATCATTTGTGGCCCTCCTTTGGACTTTTTCCAGCTTCTCTACGTCTCTCTTGAAGTGTGGTGCCCAGAACTGGATGCAGTACTCCAGCTGCAGCCTCACCAAGGCTTAGTAGAGAGGTAGGATGACATCCTTAGTCTTGCTTGTAATGCATCAGTTGCTGCATGCCAGAGCGTTGTTTATTTCGCTGGCTACAGAATTGCACTGGTGGCTCATGTTCATTTTGTGGTCGATCATGACCCCTAGATTGTGGTGCTGGCTAGTGTAACACCACCAACCCTATAAGTAGGTTGTGAATCATTTCTCCACAGATGGAGCACTTTACAGTTCTCAGTGTTAAACATCATCAGGTTTAGATCTGCCCACTTTATATGCTGAAGGCTAACTCTAAGTACATTCCTATGGGGAATGACACTACAAGAGAACCTCCATAACTAACTCAGAAGAAGGCACTGCGGCAGTGCAAACTGTGATTGCATTTGAATTGGTTATCAAAATCAGGGACAAGAACAAGCCACAGCAGGAACAACATAGCAAATTTCAACCTGAGAATGCTACATGTACAGTAGGGGTATGCGGAACGGACCATAGTTGATTCAGATTTGGCCCAAATCGGGAACAGTGATCAGATTTGTTGATTCGGATCACTGTCCCAATTCAATTCAACCGAATCCGAATCTGATGATACGATGCTGATTCAGAAAATTAGTGATTCAGCCATAGACACAGCTTTAAATGATTTTTCTACATACCTAGGAGGTACCAGGCACAGCTTGTGAATGCTGCAATGGTGGGGCAGATGGAGCATCCCACAGGAACTCAGTGCCACCCCCCCACCCTCCTGGCTCGGCTATCAGCCACAGGGGGACCCCAGGTGCCCCCACCCCACCCCCAACCCAGTCACTGAGCTGGAAGGGTGCTGGGTGGGGCTCTCCAGCACGCTCCCCAGCAGACCAGTTCTTCTGGTCCACTTACGGGTCTGCTGCCAAGCACCCTGGGGAGCCCACCACACTCCTGTGGAATGCTCCATCCGCCCCAGCATTGCAGCATTCATGAGTCACCTGCTACCCTGAAGTACACAGAAAAAACATTTAAACCTGTGTGTGTGTCCGAATGGCTGAATCTTTCCAAATCTCTCCAAATCAATTCAGAGGGTTCCCATTCGATTCCGAGAGATTAAAAGGTCTTCTGATTCAATTCAGACGTGGAGATTCAGCCACCAAATTAGGCCAGATCTCCACCAAACTGAATCAGGGAGTGAAGCTTCGCACAACCATAATGTACAGGCACAAACCCCTCTCTCTTCTCTTTCACTAATCTAGGCCAGGGGTGGGCAAAATACGTCCCATCCAGCCCACCAGGCCATTCTATCTGGCCTGAGGGGACCCTAAAAAATTTAGATAATTAATATTTATCTTCCCCTGGGTCCTGTCAAAGATGACAGGAGCCAGGGACAGTAGAACCCAGGCAAAGCTCCAGCAGGCTCCTGCAACAGGAGGGCCTGCCCAGCTCCACGCCCCTCCACCCACAGACTTCAGGCCTGGGACTGTGAAGCTGCTCGTGGCTGCACCAGCACAGGAAATTCAGGTAAGAAGCAGGGCATGGGGAGGCAGGGGAGGACCACAGGGATCACCCGTCCTCAGGGCTGGGCCAGCTCCTGCTGAGACCCACGGTCTGGCCATGCAGCCTGGAGCTGGTGGGTGGGCGGGAAAGCGGCGGTGGGGGGGAGTGGAAGTGAGCAGGAGCGTGCGGCTTGTGTCAGTGTCCTGGGGCCAACACTAGCAGGGCCCAAAGCAGGGCAGTAGGAGCGCAGGGCATGTGCTGGCAGGGGTCTCTGCAGCCAGGCTGTGCTGCACCAGCAGGGAGAGGGGGGAGCTGGCTCAGCTCCATAGAGCCCGTGCTGGCCAGGACCCTGCACTCCTGCCACCCTGCTCTGGGCCCCGCCCTGCACTCCCACCCGGCTGTCGCTGGCTCCCACGCGCCCATTCACTCCCAATGCCCCTGCCCCAGCCCCACGGTACGGGCAGGGGGTAGCACACAGCCCCAACCCCAAGCTTGCCCATGGGGAACGACCTGACCTGGTGCTCAGCGCGGGGGAAAAGTGGCCTCCCCACCTCATGGTTGGTGCTTCCTGCTACAGCCGCTCGCAGCCTCCATAAAGCTGTCTTGCCTCTCCACTGCATCACCGTCGCCCCATGGGGCAGAGATGGCAATGGAGAGAAGGCACAGGAAGCCCCACGCGGGCTTTAAGTGGCTGCAGCATGGGGCACCAGCCGTGGGAAAGGGAAGTGGATGCTTTTCCCGCCCCCCCGTGCTGAGCACCCGCTTGTTCCCCAGAAGCTGCTACTCGGCACAGAGGAAAGCAGCCCCCCCACTTGCCGCCACTCGGCAGTGTTTGCTGCAGCCACCCGCCCAGAGTCCACACCATGCTAGGCTGCTGCTGCCACACCTCAGCCCCAACAGATCAAGCCTGGAGCAGGGCCCAGGCTAGCAGCAGCAGCAGGGAATGAGCTGGTGCTCACTGCAGGGGAAAAGCGGCCACTCCCCTTCCCCGTGGCTGGCACCCTGTGCTGCAGCTGCTCAGAGCCCACGTGGGGCTGCTTGTGCCTGCTCTCTGTTGCCACCATTGCCCCATGGGGTGATGGGGATGTGGTGGAGAGGCAGGACAGCCCCGCTCAGGCTGCAAAGGTGGGAGGCACTTTTCTCCCATGCTGAGCACCAGCTCATTCCTCGCAGGCGAGGGTGGGATCAGGACTGCACGTGGCTCCCCACTTGTACAGCGGGGCTGGGGTGGGGGCACCAGTAGTGAACGGGAGCACGGGAGCCAGCAGCAGCTGGGTGGGTGTGGGACGTGTGCCACTGTCCTGGGACCAGCGCCAGCAGGGCCCAGAGCAGGGCAGTAGGAGCATGGGGTCCCAGCCAGCAGGGGCTCTTATGGAGCTGGGCCAGTTCCCCCCTCTCCCTGCTGATGTAGCCTAGCCCAGCTCAACAGACCCCTGCCAGCCCAAGCCCCATACTCCTAGTTTCATAGTTGGTAGGGTCGGAAGGGACCTGAGCAGATCATCAAGTCTGCCCCCTGGCCACTCTGCCCAGCCACTCTGCACTACATGGCTCCCATACCCACATCCATACCCACACACACACATCCCCACAACCCCCCATATGCAATCACTTCTGAATATAAACCACAAACGCCCACAAAACAGGACAAAAACATTTTTAAAATTAAATTAAAATATATTATTATGGGTGTTTGATTTTTAGTATGTAATTTGGTCCCCCCCCAAGATGGCAAACCCTCTTTCCCAAAGGAGTACTTCCAGGGGAAAGGGGAAGGACTTCCTGTGGCAAAGGTCAGAGGTTAGGAGTGAAACTCCCAGTCCCAAGATGGTGACCAGGGGGCGAGGCACCTGCCATGGGGAGGGCCTACCCATGCACCCATCGACAGCTTGCCAAAACTCAGTAAGTGGCCCTCTGCCTAAAATAATTGCCTGCCCCTGATCTAGGCAATGAACGCACAAATACAAGGATTCCAAGTAGTAGTGTAAAAGTGTCAAAATCCATGCCCAGGAACACATCCTGATCTACTGTCAGCCCAAGGTCGTTTCCCAAGGAGCAGAAAACCACCATCCAGGATGCATCTCAGTGACCAAGGACTAACTAAGCAATCAAAGTCACAAGTTTCCTTTTCCTATAGGCCTGATATGACAGGACAGCCCTAATGTTAACATTTAAACTAAGGACTCTTCCTAAAAATACTGTCAAGTTGTTTTCATATCATTACTCTAAAATTTCACATAACTACTCAATAACATTTGAAATGAGGATATCTAGCCCATGATACTCATCTATTACATTTGATAGCCCATTTAAAACTAACATTGAATTGTATTACTTATTACTTACCCCATATTCTCCCATTGTTCCCCAGCCCAAACTGTGGATCTTTCTATTATGCAGGCCAAAAGCATTAGTCAGGTCACTAGTTTAAAAAAAGTCACTGAGTGCACCAGCATATTAAGTTCTTTTCATTTCACTTTCAGGGTGGCTGGGCACACATGT